TAGTTATTCAGCAACACATCACAAAACCCAATCCTGCCACCATGAATTGATGTGCAGACTGCTGATTATTAATGTTATGAATAAAGCAACAATATATTGAATTATCAGTTATTTGCCCCCAAATTCTCAAATCCTTAACTGGACATGAAGGCGATAGCTCGGGCACATTCACACACATTACACCCACACAATAATTCATGTTTTCCTCTAACAAAATAAGAAAGGAAGCAAACTCCACCTAGCAAGTATTTTGAGTTTCATCCATCAAAATCTGTGCTTACACAGCTTCATGTCACAGAAGAGGTAACAAGTAAAACATCAGACACGAATAAATATACACATTCAGAGATTAGGGTCTATGATCAAATTAACTTCTCAATCACTTTGGGAAGTGAGACGGTTTGGGAAGGAAAACAGTAACGGCGAGTGAAATTGTTTGAGGGGTTTAATTCAAGACAATGAGGTGATGTTTAGGAGAGGTTGGATTGAAGGTACGGCGACGGATGTTGCCGGAATTGAAAAAGGGGGAAAACGACAAAAATTGAGCAAACAAAAATCCGATCACCGGGAAGTGACAGGCGGCGCGGAGGTGTGTTAGAACCGAATAACCTTAAACCAATCGGAGATTGGTGGCCGGACGGTGCCGGAATTTGCTGAAGAAGTTCCAGCCGCTTGGGTGTAATTTGAGGGTTTCGTTCTATTTTATTTTATTTTATTTTTTTATTTTAGAATGAGAATTTTGGGTGTGTATTAAATGAATTTTGATATATTAATAAGTAATTTAGGGATGATAAGAAAGGAAAAAGAGGGCAATTAAGTAATTAAGAAATTGTTAGGATTTGATTAATTAATATGCATATAGGCCAAAAAAAAATTATATATATTTAGACAAAATCTATATCTATATCTACATCTATCTATATGTATATCTATATACAATAATGCTCACATATCCACGATGACACATGTTAATATGTTAAAAAAAAATACATCACCAATGTGTGCATGTCATGGGCATATTAAAATGTGCCCAGTGTGGGTAGCGGAGCATTACTCTATATATATTGAAAGAGATTAATGGTAAAATCAATTGTGAAAAGATAAAAAAATGAGTAAAAAGTTTGACTATATTGACAAAGGTTAATGGTAAAATCAATTGTGAAAAGTTAAAAAATGAGTAATATGTTTGACTTACCAATTATGGAAATGTTGTTGGAAATATATAGTTTGTGATTACGTGCTTACAAAATTGGATCTGAATATTTAAAATCATTTATAGTTCACACATTAGTTTGGAAATCCAACTAGAAATCTGAATCAATTTTTTAATGTTACAGTAGAAGTTGGATTTGAATTTCAAATTTTACATGAAATCTTTTCTTCACGTGATTATAAATTTGTTTAGGAAATTTTAAATCATTTATGGTCTACGGATTATTTAAAAAATATTTAAATATTTATAAATAATAAAATAAAAATCAAATTATACCTACATATTGTAAATCGTGTAATTAGGTTAATAGATTTATTTTAATATTTATGAATAATAAAATGAAATTCAACTTATACCTACATGTTGTAAATCGTGTAATTTAATACAACGACTTTCTATATAAATTGTGTAACCTACCATCTTTTCAAGTAAGTTTGAT